TAACTCATGGGATAGGTGATTTGGATGGTTGAGTGGTTGGCAGAAGGTGCTTTTCCAGGTTGGAATTGCTGTTTTGACAGTAATGATTCTATTTGGTATCCTATCTTGTTGTGTGCTTCCATGTGTATATAAATACTTGCAGAAGACTGTAGATCAGACCATTGACCATACCACACCGACTTTTTCTTCACCAAGAGATCGATGATGATAACTGTGACATATCTGACACTCCAGATACACCTTTACAGTTCCAACGGACAACTACAAGCCTTTAGGGGACAGTATAGGGACAGCGTCTGTCTCTACGGGCAGAAGTCTGTCGCGGGAGATGAAGTGGATAAGCCGCTACGGGACATCCGCGCAGTGAAGTGTTCGAGGCCTGTTCAGACAGATGAGCTGCAGCCTGTCATGGATAGCATGTAGTTGTTTAGATCATAAATAGTCATTTTAAGGGGGGACTGTTGTGGACAAAATAATAGTTTAGTAAAATGCCTATTTACTCTTTGTAATCATGATCAGTATTATTAAGTGACTACTCAAAATGGGCACCGGGAGTCACCCCCTCCATCGACTGATTACCTCGTGTTACAAGATGGTGCTGGAATCTGGGGGAGAAATTCATGATAAGGGCAATATCACACCCAAAACATTTAATATAACATAAGTACATTGAATGCATCACTTAACACCTAACCAATTATTAATGTTTTCTTCTCTGTTATCTATAATTATGCATATGATGTATTTCTGCTTTATAAGGGCATGCTGACCCCCAGAATAAAGCATTCCTGAGTATTTCATCAACCTGGAAACTTATGTCTGGTGTGAATTACTTTGGGAAGCGTGCACGCATATGATTTCATAATTTGGACAGGGGCAAATATTTAAAAATAATCAAACACTTGGTTTGGTCTATAACAGGGGTAGAGGGATAGAGGGGCTGTAGTGGGTAGGAGGATATAGGGACTGCTGGGGTAGAGGGGCTGTTGTGTGTAGGGGATAGAGGTTCTGCTGGGGGTAGAGGGATATAGGGGCTGTAGTGGGTAGGGGATATAGGGACTGCTGGAGGTAGAGGGGCTGTAGTGGGTAGGGGGATATAGTGGCTGTACTGGGTAGGATGTATAAGGGCTGCTGGGGGTAGAGGGGCTGTAGTGGGTAGGGGGATATAGGGGCTGCTGGGGGTAAAGGGATACAGGGGCTGGAGGATATAGGGGCTGTACTGGGTAGGAGGTATAGGGGCTGTAGTGAGTAGGGGAAAATAGAGGCTGCTGGGGGTAAAAGGGATATAGGGGCTGTAGAATGTAGAAGGGCTGAGCCTTACTTTTAGCCAAAGAGGAGGAATCCCTGGTGGTCCTGAAGAATGTAGAAGGGCTGAGCCTTACCTTTAGCCAAAGAGGAGGAATCCCTGGTGGTCCTGAAACATGCTGTCTCTCCCTGAACTGCTGCCTCTAACACAGATCAGCTCCTCATGGCTCCCTGACCTTTTGACACATGAGGTCACTTCCTCTATAAGGAGCCTCATGGAGCTGCCTGATCAGGACTACAGACAGCTCTCCTGCTCTGCTCACCAGTCAGGCACAGTGAGAGACAGCCTAGTGCATCTTTAGGAGGGCCCTTTAGCTGTCGCTCACTGTGCCCAGCCGAACATGGGGGAAATTCATTTTGTAACGGGCATGCGGAGTACCATGCGGAACCCTGACTGACTGCAGGCTGGTTGGGGAGGTGGTTTAACTCCCCAGCCAGCTGTTCCTTTACTGCACAGCAGGCGGGCCCCCAAGAGCCTCGGGCTCTCGGTCCACGACTGATTTGCCCGAGTGCTCAGACCGCCCCTGTTTACGGTCTTAATTAAAACGTTTATGCAACAGCGCAGATATATTTTTCCTAATTGACTTATGAATGAAAATGAATGAATAAAAATACAACACACTAAACCAGACATTAAAACCACAACAGAACACTGTACTAGTTATGGTGCCAGGTGCAGAGCACCACTAATATAAGTAGTAGAATTAGAGTACTTATAATTGAATCGTTTGCTAATGCAGGTTTGTCAAGCAACTTACCTAGGCTCTGCTCTGTGCAGGCCAAACACAATAAATTTCTCTGTGAGAGCTGTAAGTGCTCTCTTCTCTTCATTGCGCAAAGCTTGGTGGTGCAAAGCTTAGTTCAATAGGTGAGTGATCATGTGATGCTTACACCAGTGGGGGGCAATGGCACTCTGGCACTACAACTACAATAGCAATAATTACAGGTGATCCTTAATTACCGACCGGGTTCCGTTCTTATGACTTGGTCGTAAAACAAATTGGTCAGTAAGGGATCCTCCTGCGCTAGATCGCAGGGAATCTCACAAATCTATCTTCTGGGGAAATTCCCTGAATATAGACCAGCTGTCTAATGTTGGGAATCCCTCGAATCCCCACGCTAGAAAACTGTTAATAAGTCCGATCAGTCATAAAGCAGGTAAGTCACAAAGTGAGGACTACCTGTACAGCAAAATACACCAACAATCCAGAAATACATCAACTTTACTGTACAGGATACGTCTGTTGTAGTCCAGTGATGGTTCGTCATAAGGTTAGTTTACTGGTAGTCTGTCATTCTCATCAATTTCCATCAGTCTCCATAGTTCTCGAGCAGTATTTGGATGTGTTAGGGAGTTTGTGATATCTCGAACTTTGAACTGTGTCTCTTTGTGTACAGTGCGCACATACAGTTTGAAATCCGCATCACACACTCACTGATTGTCTACAGAATGTGTGTGATATGGTGGGGCTAGTTATGGACTAGATGGTTGTGTGTGTGGTAGTCGTACTGGTTTTTTGTAATGCAATAACTGCTAAAAATAGAAGGAGAAATAAAAATTCCCCACACATACAGTTGTATCAGAATGTAATATCATAGCCTAAAATAATGTATATATTGCATAATAAAGATATATTGGCAGACAAGCAGGACGAAGATAAGCAATGTCCTCAAAAATATACATCTGGTAAGTATTGGAGTGTAAATAGCCAAGTAATACTTGCTTAAAGGAACCAATAGTTCAGTGGGCTGTATAATTTAACAAATCTGTGTGTGTGGAAGTTCCTCCCAGCACTGGTGAGATGACCCAGCACATTTCCCCTGCTTTCTTTCCCACGAACTGGAATGGACACGGCATGCCCTTTGTGCATTTAATGTGAGCAGTATCCTTTGTACTGGAAGGCAGACCACACACAGGGTTTACTAAATTGGAGAGTGTGGCCAGCACAGGAATAACGGATCGCTGTGCCAACTTGGTAAGTAGCACCACACACAGGTGGTGGTTGTAACTGAGCCACTGTGAGGAGTAGTAAAGGAGCTGGCACTGGAAGTTGTGGTGGTAAATATCTACCAGACTCCACAAAAATAGGTGGCCAATTCTCAAACTGATCCCAGCCATCCCTATCCACCCATCATTTTCAGCCATTCCTATGCTCCCACAATCTTTCCCTACTTCCCCCATCCTTCTAATCCCTACCTACTCCATTTATATTCTCTCACCCATCACTAAATTATCTCCCTCTCCTCCCATCACTCCAAAAGAGAGAGACTAAGGGAAAAGATTTCTTTTCGGATGTTATGTGTTTTTTTCTTTAACAAATGCCAAACAAAAAAATAAGAACCATTCACTTTTTATTTTGAGGCAGTTTCAGCATGGCAAACTGGTGTGGCAGCAAAGCAGAGAGAAACTGACAGTCCTTGAAAATAGAAGTTTGGGTGATGTGTCCAGGGTTAGTCCATAAGCAATATCCTTTATCCAGTCCGAGGTCGTTCAATAGGAGATCAAGCAGTATTGAAGGAAATTCCCAAAAGCAGAGTCAAGGCCAGGCCAAATTAGTTAGATAAGTTCATGCAATCAGTCAGAGTAACACATTAATTGTGCACGGAGGTGTTGGAGATTGGAGTTTAAAGAACCAAAAGGGGTGTGTACTTCCATGCCATCTTAAAGGGCCAGTAATAAACAAATACAATTCCTGACATTCCCACGCCCCCCTCCATTTAATCAAGTATTTGTGGGGATATTTATGGGATGATAATATTATACAGTTGAGAATTGTCCACTATTTAAATTCTCTTAGATCTTAGAGATCGTTATCATGTACGTGAAATGTATTCCATACAAATAAAATCACAATTTGTTATAAAAATAGATATTATTTATTGTCACAAATAAAATAATAATAATATTAGGCAGCATGCATGATAACAATCAGTGAATGTTTAGTATAACATAAGTATGCAATACAATGGCAATATTAAAACAATCCAACAGCTAACAGCATCAACTGTCACTTAGTAAGATTAATGAGGTATTTCACAGACACGGAAAGCTAAACTTCCAATGAAAAGCCATAAAACCTTGGCTAACAGTTAGATAAACTGAGTAACCCTTTCAATGCTGGTTAGTCCTCTTAGGCATAGCATATCCTATTCTATTGCTATTTTTAATTAAAATAACATTCAACCAGATCATTAATCAATTCCTGTACCATCCAGAGTCAAATCTACAGATTCTATAAGCCAAATTTTAAATTTGCCTAAAAAGATATCTTATCTTATTTCAGAGCAAATCAACACACATGGATAAAAACAGTGGTATGCTAACACGTGATAAGATACCAGTACTATGTAATTATCTGACTCCACCTGCAGAATGGAGTGTTATAACTACATATACTATATATTTAATTAAGATTCCTCTGATCGTGATTTATCCATGCATGTATCCTGCTATTAATAGATTTTAATTGATTTAGATTAATTAAATAAAACCAGCATAATTACCAGTTCTGATGTAGATGCTCTCATCAGATGCTCTTAGGTAATCCCAGGAATTGAAGTGTGGTTATGTGTGTGTAAAGAGATAGTGAAATTAAGTGTTCTGTGTCTCTCTCCTCAGTCTGTTTGTATGAGGGTCTGTCTGTCTCAGGAGTCCTTCCGTGTGTCTCGTCCCAAATCTGAATTTCAATCTGAAAGCCCAAACTAACCTTTCTCTTTCCTTTGTCCTAACTTTTAAAGGGAAAGATTATTTCTATGTCATCAGTTGGTAAAACCAATAGGATACTGAAGGTGTGGTCAACCTGCAGATCGTAATTTAGATTTTTGGTCCATAGAGGGCACTCTCATCTCACTAAATTCTCCTATCCAGGAAAGAGTTAACTTTTCCTGATGACCATTTTGACGTCATTTGGCTTATCTAAAATGACTGCCATAACTTACATTTGCTGTCAGTTCAAAGCGTTTCTTTGGATTTTCTCCAGACAGCGTGTTGACAATTCCTGTTGTAATTTCTAAAATTGACAGTTCTAAACTCAATTTCACCCCTTACTTACAATGGGACCTTGTAAAATTTAGAAAGTAAAATTAATTACGGAGTCTTATCTGGTCATTAGTGTCTGGCTTTCTGAGAAGCTGTGAGACATTTTCTATTCCACTAATATTTATTAAATAATATGGTATGTCTTCATGAATATTTATCCATGAATGGTCTATATTATTAACATAATACTGATTATATGTATTTAATATAATAGAAAATAAGTGTATAATGGTTATAATATATATATATATATACACATACACACACACACACACACACACACACACACACGTGTATATAATGTATTTACTTGTCTCTGGACTTAGTAATCCATCCCCCTTTCTTGCTGGGAGACTTTATTGCTTATCACTTAGCTTGTTTACATAATGCATTCCTTAGCTCAGGTTGATGGCTAGTGTTACTGAAAACAAGGAAAGAAATGTTGTGTCTGTCTTGCCTGAAGATAGCAAAATGGAGTCCACTTTGTTCTGAGTGACTTTGGCAATATACACTTTTAATTTCTATCTTAGCACAAAATGTCTGCCAATATAAATATTCTGACATATTCAATCCTGTAATAGCGTAATCTTGAATCAAAAATCTCTTCAATTATATATTCCTCATCATTATCAACTAGATCCGGTGGAGGAGGACAGGGTGGTGGTAAAGAAGGGTCAAAGATGTACTTTTTCAATAGAGATACATGGAAAACAGGATGGATCTTCATATGTGAAGGGAGTTGAAGTTTATAGGATACTTCATTAATCTGTTCGATAATTTCGAAGGGACCAATAAAAGGTAGAAGAAAGTTTATTTGAAGGCCTATGTAATTTTAGATATCAGGTGGATAATAAAACTTTATCATTAATTTGATAAGGATTGTCACCACGTCTGGTGTCAGCATTAATCTTATAAGTAGATTGAGCAGACTCTAAATTTTCTTTGACGAGCAATAAGGTGGAGTTAATATTATTTACATATTCTGATAGACTTGGGATGTTGACAGAAGGTGATTTAAAAGGTTTAGCATACACTAAACAATATGATATAATAGGCATAACTGAAACATGGTGGGATGAGACACATGACTTGGCAGTTAAGGTACATGTTATTTAGGAAGGATAGGAAAAACAAGAAGGGTGGTGGGGTATGTTTGGATGTCAACCATGATTTAAAGCCAAATCTTAAGCAAATGGAATGCGATGAGGTAAATGTGGAAGCTTTATGGGTAAATATCTGCTTGGGGGAAAAGAAGGGAAACCAACTATTGGTTGGGATATGTTATAAACCACCTAATGTTAATATTGACGAGGAACAACAGTGTTTGAGCAAATTGAGAAAGCTGCAAATCTGGGTAACACTTTAATTATTGGAGATTTTAATTACCCGGACATAAATTGGGACAGAGAGACTAGTAGCTCAGCAAAGGGAATTAGGTTTTTGAACTTGTTAAATGACACCTTCATGTCACAACTTGTACAAGCACCAACTAGAATGGACGCCTCCTCCTGGTTTTAACAAACAACGTTGATCGTTTGACCAACATTCAAGTAGGTGAGCCCTTGGGAAATAGTGATCACAATATAGTGTCCTTTGAAATAAACTCAAAAAAACAAAAGCACATGGGGTATACTAAAACATAATTTTAAAGAGGCCAATTTCAATAAGTTAAGGGAAGCTTTACAATATATTGACAGGCATAAACGCTTTAGTGAAAAGAACACTGAGAGTAAATGGATCATCTTCCAACAAATATTAGAAAGGTACATTTTTCAGTATGTACCATTGGGAAATAAATATAAAAGAAACAAATTAAAACCAATGTGGCTTAGTAGAGAAGTAAAACAAGAGATTAAAAATAAGAAAAGGGCATTTAAAGCATTTAAATCTGACAAATCAGATGCATCTTATAAAAGATATAAGGAAGCAAATAATGCGTGCAAAAAGGCAATTAGATTTGCTAAACTTCAAAATGAAAAAATGAAAGCTAAAGAGAGCAAAACCAACCCCAAAGCATTTTTTAAGTACATAAATTCTAAAAAACAAAACAAAAATGAAAGTGTAGGTACACTAAAAACTAAAACTGGGCTGTTAGTTAATGAAAACCAGGAAAAGGCAGGAATTTTAAATAACTATTTCTCCTCCGTATATATTAAGGAAGAACCCATGGCAATAGATGTGCAAATGATTGCTACTAAAAAGATGCAAAATAATTGTAATTGGTTAACTCAAGACAAGGTGCTGCAGCAACTAAAGAAAGTTAATATAAACAAAGCTCCAGGGCCTGACGGTATCCATCCACGTGTACTTAAGGAACTAAGTGTAGAAATAAGTGAAACTCAGGGTGTTGCAGTGGGTGTTATCTATTTGGATTTTGCCAAGGCATTTGATACAGTTCCACACAATAGATTAGTGTTCAAACTCAAGGAAATCGGTCTAGATGAAAATGCTTGTTCTTGGGTAGAACATTGGCTTAAAAACCAGAGTACAAAGAGTTGTCATTAATGGTAAATTTTCAAGCTGGACAGATGTGGCAAGTGGTGTGCCTCAGGGGTCTGTTCTGGGACCCCTTCTATTTAACATATTTATAAATGATCTTGAAAACAGCATTGAATGTCATGTTACAGTGTTTGCAGATGACTCAAAACTTTGTAAAATAATACAATGTGAGCAAGATATTACTTTGCTGCAGAGGGATTTAGATAGACTGGGGGACTGGGCACTCAAATGGCAGATGAAATTTAATGTTGAAAAATGCAAAGTTATGCACTTCGGCATAGAAAATACACAAGTAATGTATACCCTTAATGGAAGCGAATTAGGGATAACAACACACGAAAAGGACTTGGGAATTGTTATAGACAACAAACTATGCAACAATGTGCAATGTCAATCAGCAGTGGCCAAGGCTAGTAAGGTATTGTCATGCATGAAAAGGGGCATTCATTCTCGGGACGAGAATATAATTTTGCCTCTTTATAAATCCCTGGTAAGACCACATATTGAATATGCTGGGCAATTTTGGGCACCTGTTCTAAAGAAGGATATTATGGCACTAGAAAAAGTGCAGAGGCGGGCTACAAAATTAATAAAAGGAATGGAACATATCAGCTATGAAGAAAGGTTAACAAATTTAAACCTATTTAGTTTAGAAAAACGTCGCCTGAGAGGGGATATGATAACATTATACAAATATATTCGGGGCCAATACAAACCATTGTGTGGAAATCTATTCACAAACCGGACTTTACATAGGACACGAGGCCATGCGTTTAGACTGGAAGAAAGAAGATTTCGTCTAAGGCAAAGGAAAGGTTTTTTTACTGTAAGAACAATCAGGATGTGGAATTCTCTGCCTGAAGAAGTGGTTTTATCAGAGTCCATACAGATGTGCAAACAGCTACTGGATGCATACTTGCAAAATCAGAATATTCAAGGATATAATCTTTCAATGTAGGGTAATAACTGCTTGATCCAAGGATAAATCTGACTGCCATTCTGGGGTCAAGAAGGAATTTGTTTCCTAGCTTGTTGCAAAATTATGCTTCAAACTGTTTTTTTTTGCCTCCTTTTGGATCAACAGCAAACAACAAATGTGAGGAAGGACAATTGACATGAGAAATAGGCAGAGGCTGTAATAGTCCCGATGGGAGTTGATTAGACCTCTTTTTTCTTTTACATTCTTCACATCTTAAGATGTAGTTTTTAATAACTTTAGAATAAGAAGGCCACCAAAAATATTGTTTAAATAATTGAAGAGTTCTTTTCACCCCTGGGTGACCTGTAAGTGGATTGTCATGTATATAAGATAAAATTATGTTTCTTGCGGAGACAGGAACATACAGGGAGTGCAGAATTATTAGGCAAATGAGTATTTTGACCACATCATCCTCTTTATGCATGTTGTCTTACTCCAAGCTGTATAGGCTCGAAAGCCTACTACCAATTAAGCATATTAGGTGATGTGCATCTCTGTAATGAGAAGGGGTGTGGTCTAATGACATCAACACCCTATATCAGGTGCATAATTATTAGGCAACTTCCTTTCCTTTGGCAAAATGGGTCAAAAGAAGGACTTGACAGGCTCAGAAAAGTCAAAAAATAGTGAGATATCTTGCAGAGGGATGCAGCACTCTTAAAATTGCAAAGCTTCTGAAGCGTGATCATCGAACAATCAAGCGTTTCATTCAAAATAATCAACAGGGTCGCAAGAAGCGTGTGGAAAAACCAAGGCGCAAAATAACTTCCCATGAACTGAGAAAAGTCAAGCGTGCAGCTGCCACGATGCCACTTCCCACCAGTTTGGCCATATTTCAGAGCTGCAACATCGCTTAGGTACCCAAAAGCACAAAAGGTGTACATCACTCAGAACATAGCCAAAGGTAGAAAGGCTGAAAAGGCGACCACCACTAGCGACAGGAACGCACAAGCACAGCGTCAAGACTGGGCCAAAATATACTCAAGACTGATTTTTCCTAGGTTTATGGACTGATGAGAGTAAAGAGAGTGAGTCTTGATGGAGCCGAATGGATAGGCCCGTGGCTGGGTGGTAAGGGCAGAGAGCTCCGGTCGACTCAGGCGCCAGCCAAGGTGGAGATTTGAGTACTGGTTTGGGCTGAAACATCATCAAAGATGAGCTTGTGGGGCCTTTTCGGGTTGAGGATGAGTCAAGCTCAACTCCCAGTCCTACTGCCAGTTCCTGGAAGACACCTTCTTCAAGCAGTGGTACAGGAAGAAGTCTGCATCCTTCAAGAAAAACATGATTTTCATGCAGGACAATGCTCCATCACACATGTCCAAGTACTCCACAGCGTGGCTGGCAAGAAAGGGTATAAAAGAAGAAAATCTAATGACATGGCCTCCTTGTTCACCTGATCTGAACCCCATTGAGAACCTGTGGTCCATCATCAAATGTGATATTTAC